AGAAAGGAGTGCTGCATTGAATTCCAACATTTCACACTGTGTTTAAAGGAAAGCTAGTATTTTAGCACCTCTAAATTCCCAAGTAATAGAGCGAGAGGGGCCCTGCCCTGAAAGCATCTCAGTAGCTTGGAAGGCTCATTATTCTGAGAAAAGCTGTCGGCCTTCTTTAGCGCTACTTAGGCGCCGGGCCCCACGGCTTCACAGGAGGATGAACCGACAGCATGTAATTCTTGACGGTTGCTCTTTCACTTCCTTTTCCTTGAAAAGAGAAGAGGAACTGACTGCTATAGTGTGGAATGGAACAGGAAAAAGTCTGACAAAGGCAAGCCAATCAGATTAAGAAGCAGTATTTGTAGAAATTTTACCAAAAAACTACAGTTTCAGGAAGGAGTAGCATTTCAGAAATCGAAGGCAGCCCACCAAAGAGGACACCACTGCCTGACATCCATCTCTGTCAATTTACCAAATGGACAGGACACTATAAATTTAGCTGTCTACTATGGTAAAGCAAGCAGAAAAACACAATAAAATATATGTGGACAAAGCCCCACCTCCCCATGGAACAAAGAGCTCATTTCCATAGCATCTTTCCACTGGAGAAATTGAAAATTATTGCTATAATCTGGTGAACTCTCAGCAGGAATCCATGCTTGCTGTAGGCATCGTTAATCCTTAAGAGAAAAGGCTCTTGCCTTGCTTAAGTCTGAAGTCACCTCCACCTTCCTTCCATGAATTTGCTAGCATATTAGCAGAAGTGTGTCATGGGGTGGGGACTCACAATAAAAGTGAAAGAATGTCCTGTGGTTCTTAAGGTTGCAGTGGTTAGCAAAAAGTAGCCATAAGTCAATGAGCTAACACTCAGTGCCCTAGAGTCCGGAAAGTAGAGCAGCTATGGCTTTAACTGAAGTTGCAGTTTTAAACACATATATAAACGGAGCTCGCTCTCCTCTCAACACCACCACTGATGCTTCCCTTCCTTGCCCTTCCTTTCTCTCAAGTGTGTGGCCCACTCTTTGACTCCACGACAGTCATTTGTTCAGGGTTGAACCACAAATCACAAGTGAAAATAAACGTTAGTAACTGGGGATAATCCACTTTACCCAAACCTCCAAATTGTTTTGACTTTATGGGATATTTTTGGCTGCTCTGATTATTGAAATGTGTTTTCTGAAGTATAATATTCAGAATGGATTTGAATCAAAGGAAAAAGAAGCCCAATTGGTGGAAACTATGTGAGCATCTCTATTCTAAAGCTTTAAATAAAATTCGCTTTACTGTACCAGTAAGTAAAATGGACAAATGAGAAAATGGATCTTATTTGAAAGAACATGACTATTTAAACAAACACAGCAGGAAACCAAGTTAAGAGAGGTATGGCAAAAAAAACAAAACAAAACAAAACAAAACAAAAACCTACAGCAGATAACATAGAAGATGGAGGCTGCATCTGCAACTAGAGAAACATTCTCTAGCATGTAAATTTCAGCACCTTCCACATAGATGGGTAGATGGTGAAGAAAGGAGCAGCTGCTTGTTCTCTCTGAGCTGAGTGCGAGGCAGTTGCTACCTGGCTTGCTACCCAGAGGCAGCGAGCAGCACTCCTTCCCAGCTCTTGGGGTTGGCAGGGGCCCACTCTTGGCTTTCCTGTGTAGCTGCGGGGTCCTACTGTAATGACTCAGGGATGGTGCTGACGACATGGGTTGTCTCCGTGGCTGCTGGAGGGGAACCAAAGAAGGTGTTGGTTTGGTTCCTCTGCTGATCTCGGAGGTAAGGAGGAACTGAGGAGCTTTTGATATGGAGGATCCTGGTGTCCATCACCTGACAGTCAATCTGCATCATCACTTCGTAATCCTGCCCATTAATCACATTATCTGCAAAGGAATATATACAGGATTAAATATTCAATAGAATGTGCTTTTTAAAAAAAATATTTTTTATGTGTATCAGTGTATTGCCTGCATGTATGAAAGTGCACCCATGTCATGCAATGCCTGTGGAGGTCAGAAGAGAGTCAGATTCCTTGGAACTGGAGTTATGGTCAATTGTTAGCTGCCATGTGGGTACTGGGAACTGAATCCAGTCCTCTGCAAGAGCAACCAGTGTTCTTAACCATTGAGCCATCTCTCCAGCCCTTCAATAGAATGTGCTTAAGGGTGTGAACTGTAATACACTTCCAAGGGTAAAAAGGAATTTTATTAGTCACTAAGCAGGGTACAAAGATGGCCTGTCCCTTCTCAATTCTAGTTCTCACAGGATCTTCATTGGCTCCTTCATTGGATGTGCCCTTTCCTCCACCTGTGGAGATGGATACAAAAGACAATAGAAGAGGAGGGAGAAACCACATCATCCCAACAAGGAAGAAATACTAACATCCTGATATCTTCCATTTCATTATATTCTTTATTATTTTTATTATGTACACTTTTAAAGAATTTTTTTATTTTTATTTTATGTGTATCAGCATATTGCCTGCATGTATGTAAGTGTACCCATGTTGTACAATGCACCGGAGATCAGGAGAGGGCATTGGATTCCCTGGAATTGGAGTTAGGGATGGTTGTTGGCTGCCATGTGGGTACTGGGAGTTGAATCTGGATCCTGTACAAGAGCAGCCAGTGCTCTTTAATTGCTGAGCCATCTCTCCAGTCCCATATTACTTACACTTCTGTGCTTTGGTTCACTTGTGACTTAACTTGTATTTCCACTGGAGGTTTTTCTGACTGTAAGTCCATAGTATTTTCTCTACTACTTCTCACAGCTCTAACCCACATACCTCATTTTTCATTCTTTACCCTCTTTCCCCCCTTTTTATTCCCTCCTAATTTCAGTACTTACATATTGATATCCTTAGCTCTAAAAACTATAAACTACATGTGCCCCAACAAGTACCCTAGTACTTCTATCTCTAAACTTTATTGGGGACACAAGTGAAATGTACAATGAGAATGACTCAAACTTCCAAGAACTCTGGAATATCTTCAGAAGATCAAGCCTAGGAACCTATGGGGCAGAAGGAGGTGAGAGAAATCTAAGGACATAGACTATTAACTCAATAAAATTAGAGCAGAAAATATCCCAAGCCTAGAGAAAGAAATGGCCATCAAACACAAGGGGCATTTAGAACCCCAAATAGACATGACCAGAGAACTTTCCACGACAGCACAGTTAAGATGTCTTGGTTTCTTTTCTGTTGCTGTGATGAAATACCATGACAAAAATAACTTAAGGATTTATTTTGGCTCACAGTTCAAGGTATAGTCCACTGTAGAGGGAAGTCAAGGTGGCAGGAGCTTGAAGGAGCTGGTCATACTATATCCACAGACAAGAACCAGACACAGAGGAATGCATGCTTCTGCTCAGCTCTATTCTCTGTTTATATAGTTCAGGATCCCATGCAGGGAATGGCTCCATTCATATAGGGCGGGTTTTCCCACCTTAACATAATCAGGATAATCCTGTGCACATATGCCCAAAGGCTCATCTCTCAGGTGATTCTAGATTCTGTCAAGTTGACAACACTAACCATCACCAATGTCAAAAATACAAAGCTAAGAAACAATATTAAAAAGGTATAAAGGAAAATGCTGATTCACTTACAAATGAAAAAAAAAAATCAGAATAACACCAAATTTCTTGTTAACAACCTTAAAAGCCAGAAAAACATGGAATGATATATTTCAATCCCTGAACAATAACTGCCAACCAAGAATGCTGTACCCAGTAAGTTCTTTCTTAACATTTCAAGATAAGCACAAACTAAGTCAGCTCATGACAACCAAGCCAGCAGTGCAAAAATACTCACAGGAATACTATACATAGAGGAAGAAGGAAGACAGTATTATCCATGAGAGCATGGGGGAGAATACACTGCATGAGAGGAACAGATGAATAAAAGAGAACTGGAAAGGAATTCATCATGTATGTTTTAAGAAACCAGCAAACCCTTATTACTAACAAGAGGAAGAAAATAACTCCCCAACCAAAGGGAACAACCATCAGCACAACCATAGGAAATAGTAAACCCCTCTTAATAATAACCTTAAATGCAAATGAACTCAACTTACCATTTATAAAACACAGACTGACTGCAATGAGGAAATAATATTTAGTTGTCTGTTGTCTCGAAGAAACACACTTCACTAGCAAAGTCATCCACAAACTCAAAGGACAGAAATCAACCTTCCTAGCTAGTCAGAAGCCCTACTGTTCCCATATAAAGGGAACAATTCATCAAGAAGATACAACAATTAAAATATACACTGAATTGTGGGGCTCTCAATTTCATAAACACTAAAAGGCACAAAAGATATGGTCACAGAGGTAATAATGAGGGACTTCAATGTGCCACTGTCATCTTTAGATAGGTCTCCCAAACAAAAAAATGAGCAAAGAAACTTCATAGCTAAATTATATCATAGATCAATTAGATTTCTGCAGCCTGTTCCATAGGAAATATACATTCTTCTCAGTAGTCAATAGAACCTTCTCTAAAATAAATCACATATGTCATTAACCAAGCCTTAACTAAAAAAGGTTTAAATAATTCCTTGTTACTTAACAGACCATAGTAGAATAAAAGTACAAATCAATAGCAAAATAATTGATCGAAATCTACACAAATACTTGGAAATTACACAATATACATTTGAATGAACAGTATGTCACTGAATAAATCAAGGAGGAAATTTAAGAATTCATAGAATCAAATGAAAACAGAAGACGATCTATCAGATTTTCTGGGACATAGCTAAGGCAAGTCTATTTATTTCCTCCCCTTCTCTCCCCCTCATCATCTTTCTTCCATTCCTTTTTTGAGAAAGGGTCTCATGTGTGGACGCCACCAGCTGAAGCCACCCCTCCACTCTTCCAGTGCTGGGTGCTGTCCCCGGGCACTGCTCCTCCGCTCGCAGGGGCAGTGCTTGCCATCCCACAGGCGCCGGCTCCTGAGCGCTGCCTCTGATAGCACGGGAGCCGCCTCGGATCGCTCTGCCTGTGATTGCAGGGTCACCGCCCTTCGTTCCTCCCTGAGGCCGTAAGCTGTGGCTGCTTTTCTGCTCACTTGGCACTGAGGCAGCTCTTCTGCTCGCCTGGTGCTGAGGCCGCTCTTCTGCTCCCCCGGAGCTGCCTCAGATTGTCGATACTTCTGCCTGGTCCCAGACCTCAGGGCTGGTGAGGAGACTGTGTCGGCAGAGCCACATTCAGACACAGGAAACCAGGGTCGTTGATGCAGATGGGTTTATTGTAGAAGGTCACAAGCTTATACAGGGGTAGGGGTCCAATCAAGAAGTTACAACTTAGATCTTTGACAGGGCTGTGTCCAATCATGACATCGGGAGTCATGCACCTCATTAGCATAATGGGTTTCAGGTTACTTAGGTTCCGATTTCCTTTTAGGACCTGGTTTCCTGGGAATCACGTGACAATACTGTCTAAGTGTTGCAATTTTGGCTCCAAAGGATGGTGATTAGGGAGTGGTGAGCTCTAGGCATCAGTCTCATGATCTGCCAATGGGAGCAAATGTGACAAGGCATTTCTTGTGGCTCCAGCAGTATGGCCGTTGCCTCGGGCCTGCTGTATGGCTGTCAATAAGACTTTCACCCTAGGCTCAAGCCTGTCTCCCACACTCATGTAGCTCAGGTTTGCTTTGAACTCTCTATGTAGTGGGGTCTGGTTTTGAACTTCTAATTCTCCTGCCTTTTCCTTCTCAAGGACTGGGATTACAGACATATGTCAACATGCATGGCCATCTAAGGCAATTCTAAGAGGAAAGCTGATAGCTATACATGCTTAGAGAGGTGGCAAATTACCTACTGATGCACCTCAAGGTTCTAGAAAAACAAGAATCCAAATACAATAGAAAGATATAATAAAGATTAGGGAAGAAATTAATGAACTATAGACTAGCTGAAAAATAGAATCAGAGTTATTTCTTTGAAAAGATAAACACAATTTAGAAAACTCCTAACCAAACTACTCAAGAGAAAGGAAAGACCCAAATTAATAAAATTAGAGACAAAAAGGGAGCTATTACAAAAGACTTCAATGAAATCCAGAGGATTAGGAAGACTGAAATCATATTCCAAACAATGGAAAAATCTAGAAGAAATGGGTAAATTCTCAAGTATATACAACCTGCCAAAATTAAATCACAAAGATACACTTTAAACGGAGTCATAATAAGCAATGATATTGAAACAGAAATTAAGTCCTCCCTTAAAGAAAAGCCCAGAACTGGATGGATTCACTACCGAATTTCACAAAACTTTTAAGAGCTAACATCAATATTCTCAAACTATTCAACAAACTAGGGAAGGAACACTACCATACTTATTCTATAAATTCAGTATTTCTCTGACACCAAAACCAGGCAGGCAAGGACAAAAAAAAAAAAAAAAAAAACTACTGACCAATTTCTCTTATGAATACAGATGCAAAGATTCTCAACAAAATGTTCACAAAAGCCTCCAAAACATTAAAACTTAATTTTATGAAGGCAGACATGGTGGAGCATTCCTTTAATTACAGCACTCAGGAGGCAGAGGCAGAAGTAGGTGGATCTCTGTGAGATTGAGGCCAGCCTGGTATACATAGTGAATTCCAGATCAGCTGGGGCTACAGGGAGACCCTGCCTCAAACAAACAAATGTTAAGAAACTGAATTTGAGAACACATTAAGTTCCTATTTCAGGACTGAGTTGATTTCATTCAGGGATGTAAGGTTGGTTCAACATATACAAGTCAATAAATGTAATATACTATATAGACATAAAGACAGAAATCTATCACCTCAGTAGACATGGACAAGGCATCTGACAAAATTCTACATGCCTTCATAATAAAAGCCCTGAAGAAACTAGGAAGGGAAAAATATA